TCGGCGTGGATCGCCGGAAATTGGTGAACACGAGCTGTCAAGGAGAACAGCTCCGTCTCGCTCCCATTGAAGCTCTTTCCGCGCGAGAGGAAGCTGGAAACACGACCACCAGCACCAGACGAGCCGACCGCCACCTCGCTTTCGTTGAGCGGTGGCAGCGGTGCTGGAAACGAGAAGAAAGGGAGGAGGAGGAGGCTGTTCGCACGTTGTTAGAAGAAGAAGAAGAGAGGACGAAAAGAAGAAACTCAGGCACGTTCTAGGATCATTCCGGTTCGATTCGAACCTTTCTAGATCATTCCGGTTCGATTCGAACCGATTTGGTCTGATTCAACGATTTGGCTCGATTTTGCTCGGTTTGCAAGTTTTTCACTTGGTTTTCAAGTTATTCGTGTGGTTTTCAAAAAATCAATTTGATTTCCGGGTCCAGTTCGATTAATTTTGATTATTTTAGTTAGATTTCAGAACATTTTCTTATTTTACTCAATAATAATAAAAACGATAATAACAATAATATTTGATTTTAGGATAATTAATTTACATGGTAGTTACACCCACATATATTTTTATAACAGACCAGTAGCAGGAGTTACATATTATTTCTCGAAAATTTTAAGTGTTCTCAAATCGAAATTTCTGATTATATATTTTTAGGCTTGGGCCCAACTGGTAAATTTGGGCTCAAATCGAGACTGTATTATATTCGCAGCCCACACAATTAAAATTTTTTATTTTTAATTTAATAAAAATTCAAAAGTTTCGAAAATAAAAATTGGGAACATTTCATAACATTATGATGATTATAATTATTTATTAATATATATGAATTATGACAATTGAATGATAATTAATATTAATATTTATAATACTACAACTAATAATTAAATTCTACGTAGCACTATCAAAATTTAGAAGTATTATACTAAAGGAAGAGCAAGGGAAATCAGTTTTAAATTATTCTTTATTCTTTCTCATTTTTTCACTATGAAAAACTTATTTAATTTTCCATTTTAATCAGTTTAAAATACATAAAAAAATATTTCAAATAAAAACTTATTTGATTATTAAAAGATATAATTTTAAAAAAATGATAGAAGTTTAATTATTCCAAGATTAAAAAGAGACCATAGTTTTAATCAAGTCATATAGTTAATCTTATGTTTAAATTGATAAATTAAAAAAAAAAAGTCAAAACTTAATGTAATACCTATATCTTAAATTCATGAAATTAAAAAAAAAATGCTATGGTATTGAATAAGTCAAGAATTTACTTAATACTGAAGTAGAAGCAGAAAATTTAAATGACCTATAATGAATTAATTAGCAGTTAAAAACACATAGTTATGAAAAATATTTAATGAATTTATAAATAAATTATAGTATTAAAATTTTTCTAGAGTTTGATTTGTTGAATAATTAGTTTTTGCACCATAATTATAATTTGTTGAAATCCATAAATTACTTTGTATAGGCTCTTGATGCAATTATTATATGGGATTGAATTTCTTTTAAAACTCCAGTTAATTGATAATTACTCCGCACCGAAAATATAGTCTTTTTTTAAAAATCACCTCTCAATTTTTTTTTTTTTTTTTTTTTCACCTCTCAATTTTTTTTTTTTTTTTTTTTGTTAAGTTATGACTTCGTAAATTTTGCCATTCAACTTCCAAAGAAAGGCAGCAGAGAAAGAGGAAAAAAGGTCAGCCTAAGTTATACTTTATTATTTTTTTATTAAATTTATTTAAGTTTGTTTAGAAAATGCAAATTTAAAAAGGATTTTTATTGCGTATTTATGTACTTTTTCATAAGGCTCAATTTTTTTTTTTTTTTTTTGTTAAAGTTATGACTCGTAAATTTTGCCATTCAACTTCAAAGAAAGCAGCAGAGAAAGAGGAAAAAAGGTCAGCCTAAAGTTATACTTATTATTTTTTTTATAAATTTATTTAAGTTTGGTAGAAAATGCAAATTTAAAAAGGATTTTATGGTATTTATGTCTTTTCATAAGCCACTTAACGAAAAAGGTTGATTTTTTTTTTTTAACCGAAGGACAATATCGTATAATAATAAAAAATATAGAGAAGAAACAGTGTATTGTAAAAAATGAAAAATGAAGTAGTTAATTTTGACATAAAATGAGAATAACTTTATAATTTTCCCTTTTAAAATTTAAGAGGAAAAGAATAGAAGGATAAATATCTTATTAAATAACATATGAATTTAAAATAAGACTATCTTGAAAAAAGTAATGAATTAGTGAGGATTATTAAAAACCAAATAAAACTTAATAAGGGTAAGTGAACTATAATGTAAAAATGGTAAGTGGACCCTCTCCAATGAATGACGAGCGTATATATACAACAATATTAGAGCCGACGCTTTTATTGATCAAGTGAAATGAGGAGAGAAAATCTCCCATTATCTTAGAATATCTAGCTAATTATAGATTTATTTTTTATAATTACTACTTCTATTTCATAATACTTGTCACGTCTATAATTTTTACGTTTCTTAATAAAATCATTAAATTTGAATAGGAAAAAAAATAAATCATTGAATAAATTGACTATATTAACCTTAATTTAATACTAATCCTTTAAGAAAACTATTAAATTGAAGTAATGACTTGGTCATATACAAAGGGTAAATATGGAAGAAATGGATTTATTACTCCTTTAAATAAAAAATGTGACAAATATTTTGAAACAAACTCTTTTCTTAAAAGTAATAAGTGTTATGAAACAGAAGTAATATAAAAATGTCATTCTCCTAAATTACATGTGAGTCCTTATAAATTTACGTTCAAGACTGAGCTATGCCAAAAATTGAGTACAGGCACTGAAAAAAGTCCGACCTAGGCCCATTTCCATTTGACCATTACAAAACAAGTTAGGTCCAAAGAAGGCCCAGCTCGGAGTATAAAGGCGCTCCTCCACCCTCATCATTCTTTCATTTTTACTTCCTTTGCCACTTGGACCTTCTTTCTCCAGAAATTTCCAGCCTCTCTTTCTACAATTCTTAAGGGTTTTATTTATGTAATCTATAGGGGTGGCGGACACAAAAGAAGCCAAGATTCGTGCAATCGTATTATTCGCTTCTTCCAGGTATTGACTGACTTCTTCCTGTTATTGTTGAATCTGTTTCCAAGTCTGCAATTTTTTCCAAAGAAAAAAAAAAAAGAAGAAGAAGAAGAAGAAGAAGAAGAAGAAGAAGAGAGAGTGTCTAACAAGTTGGATCAGTAACTCAGACCCTTCCAAGAGTTGGTTTCGTCGCGTAGTCGCTGATAGGCCTGTGCAAAACCACTGACTGAACCAAACCGATCCATTTGGGTCGGGTATCCAATAACAGGAGTAAGAAATTAAAGTTAAAGGGCTAAAAAAGTTTTTAAGAGCGTAAAATCGTAAAAAAAATTACTATTTTAGAGGGTAAAACAAAAAAAATTTTAATATTTTATAGGTGATTTTTTTGTTAAGAGGCGAGTTACCCTAGCTCCCTTAGCTCGTCAGTGTCCATGTGAGGTTCAGTTTTTTGATTTATTCAATTTAAATCGAATTTATTATTTAATTTAAGTCGGTTTTATTAAAATTTATCCGTTGTAAACTTAACATTGAACTGAAACTGACCAAACTAATCGGTTTGGTTCAAACATCAATTTCGGTTTGATCTGTCATCCAAAAATTATGGTCTGCATTTTTTGGCATTTGATCATTTGCTCACCGCCAGTCGAGATTCATTTGGCACCTAATCAATGGCAAGAAAGCCTTTGAAACCTTATTGCTTATGAAGTCGAAATGATGCTCTTAAAGCCAAACAAGTCCAAGGTCCAACGCCCAACCAACCCAAAGAGAAAGAAAGAAGGAGAGTTGATCAACATGGAAGAACCTGGACCAAGACAGAAATAGCCTTTGAAATGATCTTCTGACAGATCACTTGGACCAAAACTGCAGCGTTTTTGAAGAAGCATTGCACCTAATTATTGAATGCAGCTCCTCTTAATTATTTTAACATTTCTTTCCAAAAGTTGGCGGTGGAGACAGCTTTTCAGTAGCAAGTTGTGCAAGTGAAGAGGTGTGTGATGTGGACCAATAAGAGCTAAGCAAAGAATCTATATAAAGAAGGAAGGAGTTGTAAACATTACACTCCTTTGGCACTTGTTGACGCGCATGAGAATAAGGAGTGAGGCAATCAAAGATCAAAGTAGCAAAATAAGAAAGAGAGTCAATAGCTTTAGCCACTGGTATCACTACAGCACAAAGGGAGTAAGAGAAAGGTTTGTTCATCAGAGCTTGGGACGTGAGCACCATGGTCAACCAATCAAATAAACCCCAAAGTTTGTTATTTATGCCTTTTATTTCTTTTGTATATTTTATTTTGATTAATACATTTACAATAATGCTTGGCTAAATATATGGATCTAGTTATGGAATTTATTTATTAATTTAAAATGCAATTTTGAATAGTTTGATTAATGTTAAATGTTTAAATTCCTGATTTAGTATGTTTGAGACCTATTAATGCTTGTAAATGTGTTAGGCTCCACATTTGCATATCGGAAAAGTGACAAACTAGATTGGATCTCATATTTTAAACTAGAATTTTAAACTTAGAGATAGGCTAAGTTCTTTGAGAGTAAAAGAATTAACACCCGACTTAATGAGTTTTAATAATATTAAACTCGAGAGAGGAATCTAGATATCTAAGGTTAATTCTCCTTCTAGAATTGGCATAAAATGTTTTAACCATGTTAAGCTACAAGAGTAGATATCATATGGTTTTAACGGTGCATTTAAATTAGCGGGAGAAATTTAAAACACCATAAATCAACTATTCATGGTTTGCACTAAGATTTAATAGAAATTTCATAGCTAGATCATAGAAAATTAATAGGCTAATATATTTCTGAGAAGGGAAGTACTCGAACAATTTTTTAATGAATTAAATTTGTTGGAAAAAAAGAATATAATAAAATAACAAATAATATTCCAAATTTTAACTGAAAAGTGCAATTAATCTTTCAAAAAATTGAAAATAAAGTGAATTGCAGCTTGCAATAAATCGTGAAGTTCGAAGTATTGTTGCTTATTGTCATGTCCACCAAGTGCACTCTTAACAGTTTCTCAAAGATGGAAACATCCTTCCCATCATAAATAGAACAGTAACTATAATCAAGAATTGAATTAAATCAGATTCTATCCTGGGCAAGAAAACTCAGCCAAGATCTTATTCCAAAAGGAAATGATATTTAAGACGCGAAATGATAACTTAAATTCGAACACCAGCCATCAGCTGGAATCATAAAATCACCAGTTATGGTCTAAAACATTTATTCCATGCTTCATTGATCCGGGCCTGTGATGAGTTAATTTTTCTTTGCAATGAACAGACCCCATCGCTGCTCACCAGATGAACTCCTGATCAACTTTGCCTTCCATCCATCAATTATATCATTGTAGTCTTTCTGGAAATAGATAGGAAAAAAAAAAATGAGTGGATTCTTTGATTGAAAGATGATAAAACTACCAAAAATTGGAGATAAATGCACCTCGGAAAAATCAGTAATGAATTCATCCTTAATTTTCTCTGTAGCATCTAATTCCTGTTGCAAAACTTGATTGAACTGCAAGACAAGTATCAAGTTTTTGACTTCTTAGCTAACAAAATATATTTATCCATCTTTAAGGCTAATAAAAGGGTTTGAGGAAAACCTGATCAGTTCTGTCCTCTGCAATGACATCGTCAAAACCAGCATCTCTAAGCATCTGCATATTGTTCAGAAAGGAATTAATTCACTTTCCAGGAATTATGAACCAAACAACCACAAAAGGAAATGGCGGAAAATAACAATTTATTGCAAATGTAAATATACCTGGCCATACGCTTTTACACAGTGAAGGTCATATCCTCTTTGCTTAATGTACTCGGCAAATTCTTCTGATGGAGTTCCAGCACTCTTGCAGTAATCAGTAATAAGAATTTTACCTCCAGGCTTCAGCCACTTGTAGAATGATCTAAACAATGCAGGTTTGTCCTGAAGTATAGAAAAGATGTAAAATTAATCAGCTCAAAGATCAGACCAAAGTGAAATGAATCTCTTATATATGACTCGGAAAGTAAAAGGATACTGTGTAAATTTATGCTTTTCCAACTACATCAGCTCAGTATTAAAATTTTGACTACAAAGAGCTAAATTCTACCCATGAAATCAGGTTTGAAAATGCCAAGCACATTGACTGGCAACTTTCTTACCAACAAAAGGATCATGTGCTGATAAGGTAAAATCATATAGAACCGACATGGTTCATGGATGACATTGAAAATACTATTACTAAAACATCACAAGGATCTTACCTGAATGTGCAGAATGGTGTCACGGCTATAGATAACATCAAATGTGTTGTCAGGATATGTCTTCTTCGTGCAATCAGCAACTTCAAACTCAACAGCACATTTGAGTCCAATGGCTCTTTCCAGAGCAAAAGAAATCATATTAACGGAGAGGTCAATACCAACAACTTCCACATCAAATGTCTCAGCCATGTAAAAGTCACCTCCCCCGATGCCACATCCAACATCTAGGACCTTTTGTCCAGGCTTGAGATCAAGCTTTGCAACAAATTCTTTTGTTGTTTCTGTTCAAAGCAGAGGTACATTCAGAACTATACAAGTAAATAGGCATAAGATATTTATAGTGCATTCACTGTTATTCATATGTATTAACACATAAGTAATTGTATACATACATGGGTCACATTCACAAGTTCATATATAAACATAAGCAGTTCATTTTGCATTATATGGTGTATACATAAGAAAGTTGCATATGAATGATCCTTTAGATCACAAATGTCAAATTAGTCATTCTAATGTTTGGGACTAAAGCAACAGTGGAAAAGAAAAGCCAATGGATTTTCCTTCATCAAAATAAATTAGAAAAGGGCACCATGACATTTACCAATTCCTCCTGTGCTCACAAAGCCTCGTCCAAAGACAAGTTCATACCGCAGGATGCCACTAGATTTATACTGAACAGTGTCTAAGAACTGCTGGAACCCCTTATCATCTTCTGAACGGACTTTCTGCCACATCCAACAAATCTGCACCATTCAAATCAACATGTATTGTCAGAAAAACTATTCACACAAGCCCAATGAAATAAAATCAAATAGTTCAACTTATATTGCCTGATTTTGATTCTTCTTGTTTCTCACATAAGCTCCAACACATTTGCAGCTAACAAGAGAGAGTTCATAATAATTCCCACAATCATCACGCACCTGACACTCTTTAAAGACCTGAAATACAATAAAAATCATAGACAGATGTTGATAGCACAAAATTCCTCTTTTGAAAAACATACTTCTACCTTTCACATCATGTGCATCACAAATCCTCAGTACAGAAACATAGGTTTGCCATGCAAATCATTATATCATTATGGGCATATCTTTTTATGAATGCTACAATCACCAAGAAACCTTTTTCTTCACCTTAAGAGAGCTTTTTCTATCAATATTATTTTTCTCTTCAACCTTAAGCTACAAATAAATTTGAAGTAAAATCATCAATTAATCTGGTATTTTCCATATTCTAGATTGCTTCATAGCACTGTCCTTGACAGCAGAGACAAGCCACATTTATACATAATTAGATTACCCATATTCAAATATTCAATACAAAACATGCTTCAAAAAGGAGCAAAAAGCAAACCTTTGTGTAAAATCTGGGCTCCCGGTAGTGGGTTGGGTTATATTTTCGCTTGCTATCTCCAGATTGATGGAAACAAGACTCTCTAAAGAAAATGTAACCACCAACCTTTAACCATTTCACCATCCTTTCAGCCAGATTCTCAATCTGCCATCCATGTTTACAGTAATTTTAAAAAAAAAATTTGAAAAGAAAAAGCACCATTGGACTTTACCAAACATCATGCTAGAGGGAGAAGAAATTTTTGAATCAGTCACTATGAGCCAAGAATTTTCACCTCTTTATCTGAGAGATACATTAGAAGCCAATTTGAGAATATTAAATCCACCGATTCTTCAGAAAATTTCAAGTCTTCGGATGTCACATCAGCGCATATAAACTTGACATTCTTGTGATGTCCATTAATTCTTTCATTCTGCAGGAAGAGAAAAAGAAGAGTAGATATGACTCAAAACTAAAACATTGTAAAAAACTGAAGTAACAGAGAGACCAAGAACTTGTTTGGTATAAATGAATTCTATAAAATTTTATTGCAAATCTAAATTTCCATATTTTTTGAATGAATGAATATTTATTTGGAATTCCACAAAATTTATGGAATTGAATATGCTTGGACCAAATCCTAACAAAATTAATAGCATTTGCAAATAAACTCTAAACTTAACAATAGTACAAGGTATATAAAATCTAGTAAAACTAGATATATAAAATGAACTCTACATTTGATCCAACCATGAATGTGCATTAACAAATGAATGTTTTCATGGAAATGAATCTCATTATAGATTTATTAAAAAAAAAGTACCTTCTTTATCACATTATCAATGAAGTCCACAGCAACAAGCTGTCCAGCATTCTGCGCTATTTCTCCAGTAAAACGACCAATACCAGCTCCAAATTCCAGAACAGATTTTCCTTCATATGGTGGGAGCATGGAAAGCACCTGCACAGAGTCCCAACAATGATAAAAGGATCCTCAAAAATAATTCTGCAGACTTTTCTGAAATACCTCAGGACGTTCTTCTTTGTCGAGAAGGGAGGCGTTAGAGTCAAGCATCATTGCCTCTACCGTCAGACCATCGGAATTCTCGATCCAGTAGTTCTTCTGAATTTCACGCTCTTCAACTGCCAAAAAATAAAGAAAATGGAAATGATTAAACCATTTGAAACCCATAATTCATTAATAAATCTATTTCTTCTTCATTTTTAACCAACGCAAAGAAAACAAAAGGACGAAAGAATGTGCATTACCATGAGCAGCAGCCATTGTTAAATGCTGAGAGAAAGAGAAAGAGAAGGATTTTGAAAGTGAAGGGAATGGGAAAGGAAACGAGAGTTAACAACCCTCAACGGCAAGGCGAGATCTAGAAAAGCTCCTGGATCTGCTGTTATGGGCTTTGCCTCTCTGCTGCATCACACAATCTGCAATGCAACAACAAGAAAGATGCCACCTCTCTCAGAGTTTTTGGGTCTGTTTGTTTCAGGCTACGAGACTTCGATATGTAAGGGGGTTTTATAGGGGTAGTGGGATACAAGCTATAGATCGTAAACTCCAATTTTACCCTGATTTTATAAACAGTTTCGAATCTCGATCAGTGTTTTTAAACCAAATCAGATATCAAACCGGCATCATTACTGGATCATAATTGAACGGAATCGATTTGATTCAATCATTTTTTGTGTTAAATAGAATTTTTAACTTTTAATTTGTATAATTATTTAGTAATTATTAAGCAGAATTTATCTAATATTAAAGTAGTATGTTGGCTTATAATTTCATACTACAATTCTTGTCACTTTAAGAATAAAATAAATAAATGAATACTCTCTCCATCCCATTTTGTTTGCCTATTATTCTTTTTTTTTTATGTTTCAAAATATTTACAAGGTTTTTAAATTTTTATATCTAAACAATTATTTTTTTCATAATAATATTTATGATTGTTCATTAAATGAAGGGTTTTTATTGATATCTTAATAAGTTAAAGGTAAAAGGTCAAAATAATATTTATTGACTAAATTCTTAATATGTGCATTTTATTAAACCATGCAAACAAATTGGGACGGACAAAATATTTTTTATTTTTTTTAATTATTTATAAAATTAAAACAGGTTTATTATACATCTTTTGATTAATTTTTAAGTTTTTCTAAGAAACTCTATCATTTTAAATTATTTTATACAAATCCCTATATAACTTTATACATATGCATGTACATTAAATTATTTTATACAAATCCCTGTATAACTTTATACATATGCATGTGATTGTACCTATGAATGAGAGCGACATTTAGGTAAGGACAAAAAATAATAGTGCCTAAAAAAAATAAACCGAGTTTCACTGGATGAATTCGGTTTTTGGATCTTCTGGTTCGAGCCAATTTTGTCCAGTTTTAACTCTGTCAATTCTAGATGTGAAATTATACTAGATCAACATCCGATTTGCTGTTGAACCGGCCGACCACGGGCTTTAAATATGATTAATGCTCCCTCTGTTCTATTTTATTTACATAGTTTTACAAAACACACGTATTAAAAATTTAGTTAATAAAAATAATTTTGACATTTTTTTACCCTTAACTAATTAAAGTATTAATAAAAGTCTTTCATTTAATGAATAATTATAAAAATTATTAAAGTCTTTCATTAATGAATAAATTATAAAAATTAATTATAAAAAAAATAATTATTTAAATATAATGAATTTAGAAACCTTACAAAATATTTTGGAACATTTTAAAAAAAATAATAAACAAACAAAATCGAATGGGATCCTTATCTGTTTATTTGTTAAGGTATTATAAAAAAAATAATTATTTAAATATATAAATTTAGAAACCTTACAAATATTTTGGAACATTTTAAAAAAATAATAAACAAACAAAATCGAATGGAAGCCTTATCTGCTTTATTTGTTAAGGTTAGGCTCTCAAAGGAGAGGCAGAGTGCAGTACCCCAAAAAAATTTCAATTTCCAAAGTTTTAGGATTTATTTTTAAATCAAATACATCAATTTTAAAAATATCATAATTACTGGTAATTCTAGGAGTGCAAATGGGAGACGTGGTAGTTACTGGTTAGGAATTATGGTTAATAGTAAACGTCAAAAGTTAATCCGATAAAGATTAAAAAGATGAAATAATATATTGTTCTACGTGTATTAAACTATAAATATTATATATATTTTAGAATAAATTATTTTTCAAATGTGATAAATATTATAAAACGGATGTAGTATATGGTAAACATGACCATAATTCCTATCATAAAAAAAGTGAAACCGATACTGAACTGTTTTTAGACAATTTTGAAGCTTGTTGTTCTAATTTTATTTTGGTTTTAAATCGAAACTAAATAATTTATTTCAAGCATTTTAAAAATCTTTTTTAAACTTGTAGTTTGAATAAATAATAATGATTATAATAAATATTATTATTGAAAAACAAAACCAACTCAATAAAAATTCTAAAAAGTTATTTTGAAAAATTATGATAAATAAAAATAAATTAGAAATTTCTTTTAAAATATGTTTTTTGCGATTTTAAATCAAAACCTTTTATTGTAAATCAAAACTGATGGTTTCATTTTCAAAAAATAAATAACCGAAACCGAGCTTTAAATACGCGATTTCAATTATAATTTGAAATCAGAAACTATTGACCACGATTTAATATCAATTTTGACTAATTCGATTTTGATTTAAAAAAATGATTAAGTTAACATTCTAACCAATATCACGGCCTATCGACATGTATATCTTATAGAAATTTAAGTTGATAAGCACCAACCTTAACCAATTCATGAATTTTAACAAAAAGATAGAAACTGAATTAGTTAATTTTTAAAGTTTTAAAAATAATTTCATTTTCAATGAAAAATCTCAAAATAAAACCCAGATTTTTGTTGAATTGGTGATATTATTGTTAGAGTGTTAGTTTAATGGATCTTTTTTGTTTTTTTTTTTTTTTTTTGAAATATTTTCTGTTTCCTTTTTAAGAATGAAGACACCAAAGTATTAATAGAAATAATAAAGACAACAAAAATTATGTAATTTGATTAATTTTAATTTTGATGAAATTTTGGCTCTATATTAAAAACCAAAAAATTATTAATGGAAATAAAGAAAAAAAAGGAAATTATTATATTATTAATAAAATATCTTGACCTTAATGCTGTTGGATACTCAAAAATACTATTGTCGTTTACATAAAGAGAGAGAGCGCAAAATGGAGAATCCCTTTATTCTACCAATTTAGATCGAATATTCAATTTCATTTAAAGGAGAAAAATGTCTAACTATTCATTCCAACACTCGATGATTGAAACGATATTTCTTAATAAAACGTTAGCATTTATTAAGATTTCCTAATAAACTTAAATACAAATAATGATTTATGATGAAATGAGATGTTAAATCAATATTAAAATTACCATGACAGAATTGTGAATCATCTCGGTAAAGATTTTGGTTACCACCAGCGGACGAATCCATGTAGAATAATTTAAAATTCAACTCTTTTTTTTTTCTCAGGATTTTATATATATTTCCGAAAATATTCAGATTTGCCGTCTGAAATCTTTTAAAAAATATCCATATTTTTTAAATTTTCTATAAATTCAAAAACTTTCTTCATATTTGCCCCTAACATCTGGTTGAGCTAATAGGATTAGGACCACAATTGATATTTACGAAAGAGGGTCTACCGTTAAAAGACTTTTGCTTTTCATTTGTTTCCCATGTTTTTTAATAATTCTTTTGCCCCTAATAAGGCGCAAGTTATGTTATTCCTGAAAATATTTTGTTTGTCTGCAAATCTGATTCAATTGGCTATTAATTTAAATTTTTATTAAAAACGCTTATCAATGGGTTTAAAGTGTAAAAGTAGTAAATAAATTATAAGTAGAATACGAGAGGAAAGAAAAATTGACAATTCATTACTAAATAGTAAATAGGATAATATAAATTAATCAAATGGTTTATTTTAAATTCTTCTTTTCGGAGATAAATTTTCTGAACTCTATGAAGTCAAAAAAATGTAACAAAATTTATGAATATTAAAAAATATTTATTTGCACATCAAAGTATAGCCTAATGGTACGTACATATACGGTCTGACAGTAGATTTAGGTTCAAATCTCCTCCCCCAATATTCAAAAAAAAGAATTATCTCATTCCCATTTTTCTAAATTATGATGCAACATTTTAAATTTTTTTTAACTTTTTAAGAAAATCAAGAAATAGTTTCACATCTATAAAAAAAAATCAATTGTTAATATATTAGTTGAAGTAAAACTTTCATATTTTAGATTGAGAGTAATACACTGCTAATGTTTTTTTTCAAAAAAAGTATATTAACATTTTAATTATTGAATTGATGAGGATTTAGAAGTAATTTGAAACATGACGAGGCATATTGTATTTTACTGATATAATTTTGTATTTTACTTATTTAATAACTATAGATATTGGACAAAATAAGCCTAGTCAAGCAGGGAACGGTCAGAAAAACAGAGAATCTAATTGGGTGATTAATAAAAAGGCCGATACGATACTCTCACGTGTCACGTGATCCAATGATGTCCTTCCACGTGCAATACTAGGATTGGGCCTTCCCATCCTCCAATTTTGTAGGGAGGCGATTATCGACGTGTTGTTTTGTTTGCCACGACACTTCTCTTGTGTCGGTGCCATGTCGTTTTGCTAATCATCGTGGGTGACCCATTAAATTTGGCCTTTGTTCCACCATTTTAAGAAATTAATTAGATCTCCGTTTAAAAATTATTAATCATACAAATAAAATAGAGAAAATAATTATTTCGACCTTGAAGTTTTACAAAATTAATTAATTCGTTCTCGCATTTTGTAAATTAATTATTTAGTCCTCGAGATTAATTCCATCACATTAAATGGTCATTCCGTTTAATTTTAACTATTCTTATCGTTAAATATTTCATAAAATACAAAAATACTATTTAATAAAATAAATATTAGATCAAAAGTTAAATCCACGTTATCTCTCTCATTCTCCTTCGTCACTCAAACCTCTTTATTTCTACAACTATGCATCTTTATTTCTGCAACTACACTACAACTACGCATCTTAAAGTGCATATGGTAAATCCATTTTTGTTCGGTCTTACTACAACTCACACCCTCAATCAATTGTAATCATCTCCATTTTTTTTCTTTAAGAAGAATCAAACACTCAAAATCCAAGACATGACTTTAAATAAATACGATAAACAACAAAATTAACCTGATACATATATAACATCTTTAATGTTTTAAGCGCTCTTTCTGCAAATAAACTGTGTATTAGATGTTTTAGATTCAGGCTAAAAAAATCATCCATGAGTCTTGATTTATATTGTAGAATTCATTCACTCAGTTGCTATTAAATGAACACAGTCATAAACCAATTGGATCTAAAATGCTTTGCACGTGAGTTTTTATATTATGGGATTTTGCTCGCATGTGAGTTTGTAGATTTTGAAGCTGGAATGTGGGTTTCCATT